GGTCTCCAGGTTCCTAATCTCCTCCAGGTAGGCCGTCTCGATGTTGTCGGAGATCATTATTGCTTTAAAGCCTGTTTTTATCCTAATTTTAACACATTTGTATTACTATTAACTGTGTTTTAATTTTTGATTTTATTTTATTGAGATTATTTCAAGTTTTTACTTACATTAAGAAATGTTTTAAAGGGCTGCAGAGGATATAGATATTATGGTCCTGGGTCTCTTACCCAGCGTTCTGTGTTTTTTGAGCTTTGAAGTTTTATTTAGATATCTTTAGATTGTTTCTTAACTTTACACTTCATGTAATATTCCTAAGCTTTATTCAGCTTTACGTTTCTTATTTATCACCTTGTATATTTAACAGTAAAATACTGGCAGCAGGCTGAATATTGTACTCAACACTAAAAATCTTAGAAATATGGTATCTAACCACATATTTTGTTTGCATGGCAATACTGTGGCCTCCAGTAACATTGTGAGGAATCTTGGAGTCCTTTTTGACCAGGATGTGTCCTCTAGTGTGCATGTTTATCACTTATGTATGGCTGCTTTCTTGCATTTGCATAATATCTCAAAAATGACAAGGCCGACCCAAAAAAAACTTTCTAAAACTGGAATAAAAACTAAAATCTTCAATTGTGTAATTACATTCAACTTTCATTTAACAGGCGAGTGAAAAAAGAAAGGATTTTCAGTTTTTTCCATAAACTCAGTGAGCTTTTACCCAGAAAACACTGATGTTTCTGCACAAAATTGTTATATTGGTTCCTCTTTGCACAGTTCAGCTTTAGGCTGCATTTCTTAATAAAGCTGCTGATTGTGATATTGTCAATGACTTCTGAAGTACATCTAAGGCCATGAGGCTCTGTCAGTCACAATAGCGTGATGGTTTTGAATGCAATACCTCCTAAGGACTTAAAGGTCACGCACATTCAGCAGTGGTTTCCTTGCTTGACCTTTATGCACAGTGATTTCTCCCTGAATCTCTTCACAATGTTATGTACCATAGATGATGAGAGAAACAATGTTTTTATATTGAAAGATGGGCATCATTGTCTAAATTTGTTTATGTTTAAGAAATAAAACACACTCAAGTGCATTATGTACACTGAGAGTAAATACATTTTGTATACCTGAATCTGCTGACTCAGCAGCCATACTGGTTGATCCTGACATAAAAAAAAAAACATGCAAAAAGCAACAGAGACTGTGGTACCAAAATATCAAAGAGAAACTAACATGGTGAATGTAAAAACCACTGTATGAAATTCTTTGTTAGAGTTCTTGATAGGACAGGAACACAACTTGTGTTCCTTGGTATAAAACAGACTTACAGACTAAAGCAGATTACGGTCTGGAAGGATCAGAATCAGAAACTAAATAAAATCCATAGATTTAATTAAAACTCAATTTAAAATAAAATCATTTTCTTTTCTTTCTCACTCAGAGTGCAGACATGTCTGCTGCCAGCTGTCTTCTATCTGAAGATCAGTTTCTGTGCTCCATCTGTCTG